GTGTATTGTCATGCTGATATGAATAACTTGTTTGTTGAGATGTCTGGCAATTGCCATCGACAAATCCGGTTCATTGGTTATTAAACGGTTGTGTTCCCTTGAACAAAGTATAACATAAGAAGAATCATATGCATATATCAAACCACTGTCTAACCCCAACCTCCTTTTAATAAACATAACAAATTGCCGTACATAATGTCCTGTTAATGAAGTGTGAGGTAGGGCTCCCTGTGGTTCCTTGAACCCATACTGATACCATGTTGTATATTTGGAGATGCCAACGACACCATGCTGAAAACAAATCAAAACGGTGAACCGTCTATCACAAAATGTAATGTAATGAAAGGCTTTTCCATTCACTGTTGCTATGGTAACCTTTTATTCAAAACTGTTGAGCACAAATGGCAATGCATTGAACTCATTTTTTTTTCCAAGGGTAGCTGTGGAACACTGAGGTAGAACCACTTCATTTCAGTATCAACAAATTTTATGTGCCTTTTCGACGATTTCACGATTTTCCAATGTTTTTCTTCCACGAACAATCTCGCTGCGTCAGGCTCATTTCCATAGTGGTGGCGCTACAACTGATGTCACGCAACCCTAATGACTAGCTGGAAAGATCTTTAGCGAGTGGTAGTATTCATTATGGGTTTTTTCGTCCGACCTTTCTCTCTTGTTTTATCGTTGTCGGACTGAGTTGTTTTTTACACTTCCTCTATAAGTGGCCATCGACGAAATGTCTAAATTATTTCATCTCAGCGTTTATTTGTTACTTCTTTCTCTGGTTCAGAATTTACTCGTTTACATTGCCTTCGCATCCTCAAGCGAGGGTCATCCACATGTCCGACAGGAAGTTGTATTCCCGCCGCGGTTCCTTCCCTCGGAGGATCCTAACATTCCAGCTGGACATTTAAAAATGTTTGGACTGCAAAGACCACCGAGTGGTCCTGTAGTTGAGTACAACACAGTTCTAAAACCTCAAGAGTTTTGGGATAAACATGTGAGTTTGTCGAAACCACTGGTTTTCCGTCAGGCTATCGCCGACTCCCCAGCGCGACAAAAATGGAACGACCAATATTTAAAGGAAAAATATGGCGACTTAGATGTGTTGACAGAGCTAAAAACAGAGAACAGAACACATGGAGAAACTTCGAGGATGTTATTGGGTGATTTTATAGATGTCTATGGAAAGGAAAATCTGTATGTAGTGACCGTTTTGCCTGACCCGATGAGGCAAGATCTTCCGGTTGGTATATGTTTCTGCTCGCAAAACATTTGTCTGTAAATATTCTTTTGATGCTTAACTAGCCCTTCTCATTGATTAAACTTATAATTTAGCTTTTATATTATCGTAGCTATAAAGCGGCAATAAGTTCAAAACGTACGAAGATAGAATTTTAATTTTTATTGTTGTCATCAATGTATATTGTCATTTAAATTATCAGTTGGTCATCACCTGTTTTTGCTCCAAAAAAAAAATAGTCTGTACAGAGTAAATTGGTAATTTAATGAAAAAAATCGGTCACCTTCCTCAGGTTCGGATCGTTAGGGGCGGACCATCAGGTATTTCTGTGGCAAGGGCTGTTTTTCCCCCTTAGGGAAGGGTTGCAAAGGGTTTACAAGTGACGCGCGAGCAATTAATATGTGACGCACGAGTTTTTTACTGAAAGGTGAGCGTGATTCGTGAAGTGAGGCGTGATTTTCCTCGTGAAGGGTACGTGACCTGTGAATTTTTTCTTTCATTTCAAGAAAACCTCAAGATTTCCCAGAAACCTTGCAAACAAAAGACAGATCTATATGAAAGTTTCCCTTTCAAGCTAACTATGAATTTTACTGCATTATCTTACCCTGTTTATATATCACGGTTGAATCCAGAAATTTTTGATGGGGGAGTCAGTCCAAACTTTATTACAATTAAGCTTAAAAAAAATTCCTCCAAGATAAGAAAATTCTTAAATACCTCAAGTTAAATTGCAATATGCTATCCTGTCATTGAAAGAATCTTGGGTCTCAGACAAGTAGTGAGAATATCCACAGGTCTGATGGGGGGTGGAGTGGGAGGGGGTCTGAATCCCCCCCAGACCCTCCCTCTGCATCTGCCAGTTGAATTCAGGATGATATTCTTGGATTGTAATCTTGGTATTCTGCAGTTATTGCTTATTCTAGCAGTCTTAGCAAATAGACCAAGAACTAAGGTTTAAATATTTTACATTTCTTAACTTACAATTTTTTTCTTATACAACTTCAGTAAAATTTTAGAACACAGCATCACCATGATCTTTTGAAAGATTTCTCAAAATAATTTTTGTATGCATGTTCATTTCAAATTGGCTGTAAGTTATAAAGGTTCTGATTAAACTTTCAAAATCTTTTTTATCTAGTTGCTCCCCTGTCTGATGTGTGGCACATTTAAAGACTTTTTACATGAACTTAACTTTTGGATGAGCTCTGGAGGAACACGATCTGTGATTCATTTTGATGCAGATCACAACATCCACTGCCTTGTTGCAGGCCGCAAAGACTTTGTGATGATTCACCCTGACTTTGCACCTATTCTGAATCTTACTAAGGTGAGTCTGAAGTTTAAGTGGTACGGTATATACCCTTCTACCAAAGTAGGGGTTTTGGGATGTTGATTTTGGAACAGGCTACAGGACCTCAAGCTACCCTCAGTTTATTTGCCATGGCAAGTTGGGGAAAGTTCCTGCCTATGGCAGTCATGCAGCAAGCTGTATTTAGTGCTTCTGTCAGTACTCTTGATTTTATTTTTTGAACTGCCGCCCAGTTAGCCCAATGGATAGTGCGCTGGACTGTTGTGCGGGAGGTCGAGGGCTCGAGCCCCGGCCGGGCCAACACTCAAGGTCTTAAAATAATTGAGAAGAATTTGCTACCTTTCTATAACATGAAGAAATGGTTAGATATTCTAGTCTTCTCGGATAGGGACGAATAAATGGAGGTCCCATCTCCTACAGGGTTAGGGTAAAAAAAAAAAAAAAAAGTCTTTNGGAGAATATGGTGATTATTGAATACTCTTTTGCTTCATTTTGTTTTCTGAAGACCATTTTAATCAGGTTGCTAAGTGGCAACTTTGAAAGAAGTTGAACATGGAGCCTTGGGGTATACAATTTCAATTTTCTTAGCATCTTCAGCCTGGTGTCTGCCTGGACTGCAAGCCTTGAACAGGATGTGATCATTTGAAGATTGTATTGTAAATATGTAGGACTAAATTTGAACTGGTCAATAAAATGAACTGACTCTGTGTCAGACAGGGTCAGAGCTCAAAGGCCTCTGTGTAACAGCCCCACCCAGACTGCTCTTGAATGGTCCCCTCTCCTTGCAGCTCTAATTTTTTGGATAGCTCCCACTGATAGCCATACCGATACTGGACCATGTTCTGTTGACAGTTACAAAGGGGCAAGATCTCAATGTTGTATATGTTTTTCAGCCTCCACAGTTTGGCTCAGGCTACTCTAGTATTGATCCTGATGTGGTTGACTTGAATCTGTATCCAGATGCTTCCAAAGTGGAGTGGACATACAGTACTCTTGGACCAGGCGACTGTATCTTCATCCCCTCTGGTAATCACCCAGTCAAATGTTTTCTTTACCTCGAGTTATCTCACTATGCATTTCAATAGCACAAGAATTCATTTGTTAAAAGTAAAAATCACAATTTTAGTTTTATTCTTCTTTTTAAATGACCATATGAGTCTAGTAAAAGAGCTTTTTATTAATCCATTTAGTTTTAATTTTGTTGAAAATTGTAATAACCCAAGATGGTTTCAAAGCTTCTTACATGGTGTTTTAGAAAAGGTGATAGTCTGTGTAGAAGGTACTTAGTGAGTACCCATTACGAAAGAAAGGTATGTTGGAGGAGAAAGCTCTCGGTCAAAATCATGTTAAGCCTCTCTTTCAGTACAAAATGTACTGTGCTATCCAGGGGACAGCATTATTGACCTTTTGAACAACTGGGTCCTGGTGGAAGTAGAATAATTAACAACTATTCATCGAAGTGGAGGTGGTTAGTGGTGGATATTTACCGAGCCGCAAAGCGGCGAGGTAAATATCCACTGCTAACCACCTACACTGAGGTGAATAGTTGTTTTAGTATATACTAAAACAGTGAGATAATATACACCACC